ATGGATGTATCCATTTGAATGATTCATAGGTGATTTAAAGCGATCGCTGAAAAATAAGGCAAAAGTTGAGGGATCAATATGTGCACATTATTTGCATCGAGAAACTTCACATTTTTGCTCTCATTATTTCAATCATATGATGTTGACTCCGAGAATCATAAGGAATGAAGTTCACTTTAGTGAAAGAAGTCAATTCACCTTATCGGTTTTTGGCCGTCCCGATCATCCTTCTGGAAAGACAAGTGTGCATTGGTTGTCTGAAAAAGAAATGCAATCTGCTCATGTTCATGTGTTGATTAAATGCGTTGAAGTTAAACCATATCTTGAGTAAGTATATTAAATTAAGTTTGTATTTTTTTTGTTAAATATACTTGTCAGTTTAACATAGATTTTTTCTTCTTTGAAATAAGGCATTTAATACTTATTATTTTCAAAGCACGGGTGGACAACCATCGACGGGTTACACACATGCCTATTTTCCTGCATGGTTCAAGCAACAATTACATTGGATTGTTGCACCAAGTCCTGAAATAATTCATTTGAGAAGTTTATCTGAAGGCCTACATCAGCGTGCAAATGAATGGCACACATACTTTGTAAACAAATATAAATTTCACACTCAAACATGGACAAAAGGGAAGAAAACAATAAATAGTGATGTAGTTGTAAAAGGAGTTATAGAGGGTGGTGGGGACGACTTTTATGGTGTTATCACACATATTTATAAGTTGGTATATAATTATATGGAATCGAAAAATAAATTTGTCCTATTTTATTGTGATTGGTATGATCCATCTTCCAGAGGAACTAAAATAGATGAAAAAAATATATAACATTGTTGAGATACGAATGGATAGAAAGTACAAAGAGTATGACCCTTTCATAATGGCACATAATGTTAGACAAGTTTACTATGTTCCTTATCCTTCAATTCAACCAAGTAAACAAGGATGATGTGTTGTAATCAAGTCCAATCCAATGGGTTATATTGAATCTGACAGTGTAATGGAAGATGATGTTGCATACCAAGATGATGAGATTTCACCAGTGAATGAGGTAATTGAAATTGAGGAGATTACAAGTTTGGGTGATACTGTAGTTGTGGGTCAACAAGTTGATGCAACCATCTTGTTATCAGCAAATCATGTCGAAGAAGAGGAAGAATAGTCAGGAGACTTTGAAGACAACAATATCGTATCTGATGAAGACAATGATGATTACGATGATGAATAAATTAAATAATATGTATTATGTAATTATACTATTGTGTAATAATACTACTATGTAATATGTATTGTTATATATAATACTATTGTGTAATTGCTTGAATTAATTTACTTTTGTCATTTTATGAAATATTTTAGTTTAAAAATGCCACCCCGAAGTGAGGAAAAGGGTAAGGGTAAGGCTCGCCGCACAAGGTTTATTGTAGAAGAGGTTCCTGATTCGTCTATGTTTATTCCTATGCCACTTTTGAGTCAGGTTCATCCTACTCCATTGCCTGGGCACCCTACTCCACCGCCTATGCAGACTTCACCCATGTCTGGTGGATCTTTCACCGAATTACTATCCACACCCGATTTTCCTTCATTCCCACCGATATCTGCGCCGACCTTTATTAGTCCTCCTAGATATGCACCTATTATGCATCCCAGTACCCCGCATCCCTTATATTTTCCGATGCCTTCCATGCATTCAAGCGGGTCTAGCTTTCCGATGCCTTCCATGCAGTATTTTATGCCATATATGGAGGCTGGTGGATCTGGCATGCCACATTCATCACCCGTGCATTCTACGCATGATGAGCAGGATGATGAGGGTGATACTAGTGCTCATGGTCATAGAGGTACCAGTTCTTATGCTCATGGAGATACTAGTGCTCCTGATAGTGCTCATGAGGACACATATTCTGAGAAATGCAAAGCCCCAAACAATTAGGAAATATAAGGGCAGATATGTCATTCGTTGCGATGGAGGAAGGTATGTTTTATATATTATTTTTTAAAAATTTAAATTTGAGTTTTTTTTAATGTCAATACTAACTCAAGATTTTTTTGTTTAGCCTTATACCATCACACCAGGCAGTATCGTGTATAACAGAAGTTATTAAAGAAAAGTATAAAAAGTTTTGGCCGACATATGGAGCACTTCTCGAAAAAGAAAAGGAAGATTGGTTTAGTTTATTTCAGGTATAAAAGTAACTATTATTTTAATTTCTTATATATTTAGTTTATTTCATGATTTTACATTATTTAATTTTTTAAAAATTCATAAAACAATGTATGAGAAATGTGCTTGGGACTTTACAGAGCAGCAACAAGTAAGAGAAAATTTTGATACAAAATGTGCTGCTCGATTATCCGACACGCTTAGACGTGTTCGAATTAAATGGGAAAGTAAAGAAACACGTCCCTGTTGGATAGATGAAGATGTATTTAAGCAACTTATTGACCATTGGAATTCGGAAAGTTTTAAGCAAGTATCTGAAACAAAAAAAAAGGGCATTTGAAGTTGGTGGCTGCAACTACGCAGCAGGAAGTATTAGTGTTGTTGAAATTGCACATAGGCTGGTAAATTTATTTATGTTTTTACTTAAGTTTTCATTTAAAATTTAGATTAAAACTAACTATTTTTTCATCTAGAGACTCATCAAGAAAAATGGGGAGTTTGTCGATAAACGCTCAAAGGACACTCAAGTAAGTTTTGCTAAAATTTAGTCATTTTATTTCTTTCTTTTATAACATTTTATTTAGTCATCTTATTTAAATTATTATAACATCTAACTTTTTTTTATAGGAGGAGTATGATCGAAAACTTGCACTTTCTTTATCTGAGCATCTTGAGTTACCTCCACCACCACAGGGATACCCTATTGATCCTTGTCTAGATTTTCAGACTTGGTATGATGCTACTCACGGGAAGAGGGAAAATGGAATGGTGTATGATGCTGGAGGGTATGTCAAAACAATTAAGCGGCGTGATAGGACTTTCATGATGAGACTTGATGATGGAGAAGGATCATCACGTCCACCTATATTAACCGCTGATATGCTTGAAACTGTGAGAAATTTGGCGTAGACCGAGGCAACATGTGAGGCAGTAGCTAGAAAAGCAGAGATGGAGGAAATGAGGAGAAGACAAGCAGAGATGGAGGAAGAATTGAGGAGGAAAACATCAGAGTATGAGGAAGCAATGCAGATTGCAAATGAGCGCGCATTGAAATTTGAACAATTTATGGTCTTGCATATGAATCAAGGTGTGAGAGGAAGAGATGAGGATGATGATGAAGAAGTTGATTAAATTTGTTAAAATATAAAACTTTTAATATGTATTTTTATATTTTATTTTATTTTTGTCATGAATTATTTTTATTTTGATGATGGATTTGGATATTTATGTTTATTATTATATTTTACAAAATATATTTAGTTTATTTATTATATAATTATATTAAAATATATATTTTTTATTATATAATTATATTATTCTAATTATAATAATATAATTAAATAATATAATTATAAATTTAATAAAAATTTATTATATACTTATATATTATTCTAACTATAATAATATAATTAAATAGTATAATTATAAAATTTAATAAAAATTTATTATATTATTATTCTAATTATAACAATATAATTAAAATAATATAAGTATAAATTATATAAAAAATATTATAATCATTATTTAGGGGTTAAATCTCTCCCAAATTCTAAAACGTAGGACAATTTGCTAGGGGCTATACCCCTCACAAAATTATGACACAGACATCTAGGGATTTTACCCCTCACTAAATTCAAAAAGCAGGTAAGTTAGCTAGGGTTTACCCCTTTGTGAATTATTTGACACGTATGTGCCCCTCTGTGGCTCTAGTCTATGTCTATGTCTGCAGCGTAATAGTCTGAATTTTTTCATGACATTTTGTGAGAGGCTTACCCCCTAGCCAAATTTGCGAGGGGTTTATCTCCTAACCAATAATTTGCGATGCCTTGATTAGCTAGGGGCCCTGTCCCCTCACAAATTGATGCTTTGTGATGAATTTTTTGCTTTAGTGAGGGGTTTAACCCCTAGCTATATACAGTTTTTCTTGTAGTGTTTTCATAGGGAGCATTGAACATTGTGGGACTTTTTTCTTGAGCAACATCTTTGTGAGAAATACATCATATACTCACAAAAAACTTTAAAGTGATAGGTGTGAGTTCTCCCACTTATAAATGTTCAAGTTTTCACATTTTTAGTCAATGTAGGACTATTACTCATACTACTCATACTCATTATATTTAACCTTTAAATCTATTTAAAAGAAGAAAAAAAAGTCCCTAAATATAAATTTCATTGCAACTTATTAAATACATAAACAAATATCATGTTTCGTAATACTAATTTAGTTTGGAATAATAATAATAATAATAATAATAATAATAATAATAATAATAATAATAATAATAATAATAATAATAATAATAATAATAATAATAATTAACAACACAAAATAAACATTTTTTTATATTGGAGTAGAGATGTAAATTGAACTTGGATTTTCCTAACACATCATTAAAGAATACTACCTTCTTACTTAATAAGCATAAATATGAACTAGACTTATAAATAGAGATAGATGTAGTACCTAATATGAGAAGGATGGATGCATATTTTGAATGGAAAAAAGAAAAAAAGACAAAATGGAGGTTGGTTTCTCAATTCTATCACAACATGTTGACAAAATAGATTTTTAGGAGTGAAGCTTACTAGATTTATATTTAAAAAAAATTGGAGTTGCATTACCAGTTTTAGCAAAAAAAAAAAATTTTAAAATACAATTTCTTTAGATATGATATGGCTCAAACACGTGTCTTAAGGTAGAAGTCATCTCACTCAACCATGGTTAAACAAATCACATACTACATTCATTCATCTCTTCCTATATATTGCCATTGTTAAACACACAACAATCAAAAACTCCACTCACTCACTCACTTATTGATTCCTTAACTATGATCAAGATTCCAAACGTTAAAATCCCGGAATGGGACACGACACAATACGAGGGAGGATCATTCTTAAACCCTTTCATTTCAAACGACTCCGACACACAATTTTCCATTACCGAAGATTTCGACTTACCTCTTCATCTTTTCTCTACCGACCATTTCCGAATGTTCGAATACAAAGTTAGAAAATGCCAGCGTGGCAGGTCGCACGACTGGACGGAATGTCCGTACTCTCATCCCGGCGAGAAGGCTCGCCGGAGAGACCCTCGGAAGTTTCATTACTCCGGGACACCTTGCTCGGAGTTTCGCAGATTAGGAAACTGTACCAAAGGTGATTCATGTTACTTCGCGCATGGTGTTTTCGAATGCTGGCTTCATCCTTCTCGTTACAGGACACAGCTTTGTAACGACGGGACCGCTTGTCGCCGGCGTGTCTGTTTCTTTGCTCACACCATTGATCAGCTTCGGCTCTCAGGTAAGGCTTCACCGGAAACATTTGTTTCTTCTCCTACTTCGGTTCTTGATTCTCCTCCGGGAAACTCACGATACGGTGTCGTTCCGGCGAATATGCGGGAATTAGTTGACTGCATGAGAGATGTTCGAATTATGGATTCGGGTCGGGTTGGATCTCCGCCGGGTGGGTTTTTTAGTCTTCCATCAAGATATGAAGGGGTTTGTATGGAGAGGGTGGAATCTGGAAGAGATCTCAGAGCCAAAAACTATGGGAAATTCAGTACGATGAACTTCAACGACGGTGCTGTTTCGGTTCCTGTTCCTGATTTTGGATGGGTTTCGGAACTGGTTAACTGAGTTTGGGATTGAAGAGTATGATTCTGCTTTGTATAGATGATGAATGATGCAGAAAGGAAGAAGAATCTTTGTGCATAGGTGAGAGGAGCATGAGATGTTCATTTTCTAACGTTTAGTTTTCTTCTTGAGTTAAGGATTTGTTGAAGATTGAATAGCATTTGATTGTCTTCATTGTTATTTTTAACTCGTATTATTGTCTTCATCTTTTCTTGTTTTGTTGTTTTTGATGTTTATATTTTTTCTTGAGTTACGGGTTATTTTTTCTTTCTAGAATGAATATGAACTCTTATACCTCTTTCTTTATCATTTCACTTATATAGGTTTCCGTTTGAACAAATGAATATAATTATAATAACTCGAGTGCATTTAGCATCATAAGACCTCAACTCATTTATTTTCGGACACGCAAAACCCTTAAAGAACGTGTAAATCAAAATAGTCGAGGTGAAACAATTTCCAAGTCATATGAGTAAACTCACCACGACATGTTTGGTAGTTGAGATCATCATACCACGAGGTCGACTCAGTTTTGAGTTAGAAATATTGACTCAGTTTTGAGTTAGAAATATTGACTCAGCTTCGAGTCTTATAACAAATTCAGACAAAAATTATGAATCCAAATCTCAGGCCAAGAACGGACAAGACAATGAAAATCAATAATATAGTAACATATATAACGGTTAATGGCATAAAGGACGAATGTATGAAAAATAATTGTAAATACACTAGCAGATGAACAAAAAAGATCATCACTTATTCACATATCTGAAAAATTGAGGCTTTTCTAGTTCATTGTAGTCAAGGCCATAATTATTGTACTAATTGCAAGTACATTTGGTATAATAGTGGGGTCTCAGTCAAATTGACTTAGACCACACTCTCACTTAAAACTTTTGTTAGCCTAACCACCATTTCATAATGGTAAGGGCTGTTGTTAATAGTTACAACAACGACCAAGATGTCATAGCAGAGACACAAGCTGCTATGGAAGAGTTACGTCGACAGAATAAATTCTTATAAAACAGCGTTCTTAATCTTCAACAACAACATCTAGAGAGCGACGAACAAGAGTGTATAAAGGCATTGAATATTCAACCTCTTTTCATCGAGATTTAGGATACACTTGTCCCATATAACTTCAAGCCTTCCTCCTTGTGACCTACGACGGAAAAAGCAACCCACGGGAACATGTTACCGCCGTCAATACCCAAATGGTAATAATATGGCCAACATACTCACTCAAATGAAAGCTTCTTTCTGGAACATTGAAGGAGGAACCTCTGCACTGATATATGAACCTTATCAGGTTTTCCATAACCAGTTATCAAGATCTCTCAAGAAAGCTAATCCACGAATATTTTGCAAGCAAACACCGCAATATGTCTATAACGAGCCTATTCAACATAAAATAGGGACATATCAAGTCCTTGCGGGAATATATGGCGAGATTCAAGGAGGTTTCCATTAAGGTGATAAATCCCCAATCGAGAAATATTCGTAGGCATTTTCTAAAATGGACTTAAAGACAGACATTTCAATGAATCCACTGCCCATAAATCACCAAACTTGATGGAAGAAATCATGGCAATTATGGAATGTTACATCAAGGGTAAGGAAGGAAATTCCTAGAAGAGGACCAAAGATGCAAAAGAGCAAATAGGCAGAGGATCTGAATCCCCCTGTCACTGTAGAAACTATTCCATAGAGTCTGTGAGATATTTGATCGAACTCTAGTATGGTCGAAGGGTAGCTTCTGGTTCGACAGGAATTAAGTATGAGGTCGAAGTCTGTTCGCATGCTGTTGTCGAAGATAATGTGTGTTTTAGTCGAAGTTTATTCTAACATGCATTAGTCAATATTGCTAGGTTGTTAGCATGTTGAATTGGGCCTTGATTGTAAGCCCAATTGCTTAAGTTAGCTTGTACCCTAAGTTAGCTTGTAATGAGTAATTATTAAAAAGCCCATTAGGTTAGTGTGCTATTTTTCTTATAAATAGGATGCTAGTTTCTCAATCTTGGTATAAGGAAAAATAGGAAGATAAAATCCTAATTTCAAGTGAGAGAGGTTATTTTGTTATTCTTGTATACTTGTAATCTTGTTATAAGAGAAAGGAAAAAATAACGGTTTATAACTAATCCTTGTTGTTCCTTGTTGTTTTACCTTGTCTTCTTTGTTAACCCTAACCCCTGTGTGTTTCTTGATCATTAAGAAACTGGTTTATACTTTGTTATAAGGTATTCGATTTACAACAAATTGGTGCGGTGAGCGTGGATAAGATGCCTTCAACAAAGTATGAGATTGAAAAGTTCACCGGAGTGAACGACTTCGACCTGTGGCGTTTAAAGATGAAAGCCCCACATGTTCAGCAGGGTTGTTTGGAAGCGTTGAAGGGTGAGGCATCCATGAATGTTGCGTTAACGGAAACAGAAAAGACAGACATGATCGAGAAATCCCACAATACAATATTGTTGAGTCTTGATGTAACACGGTGGGAGAACTGACTTGGTATTTTTGTTTGACAAAAACATGTGCGGATAGCAAGAGTCGCCACCGACTTTTATTTTATCCAATAGGAAAGGCTATAAAAGAACAGGAAAGACCTTTTTGAAAAGATTTTGAGTTCGGGGGGTAGGTTATATAAAGGGAAGGTGTTAGCACCCTTTATATCCATGGTTATCCATGGGCTCTTAGTTACTTAGCTCACTTGTTTGTTTGAAAAGTAATGTGAAGTGTATGTTTAGAAAAGATTTTCAGAAGTTCTTTATAGTGATCCTCGTATGGATGTATACAAAGCCTTGAGTTTGGAAATATTTTGAAAGTGGGGTGTAAAGAATGTTTTTTTGAAAAAAGTGAGCAAGTATTTAAGTGCTACCTACCCTAAGTTTGTAAGGTCTTTCTTATTATTTATTTCCTTTAAGGGTAAGATTGTCCTTACTATTAGTGAGTAAGTAGTCTTTACCTTGGATGTTAAGGGACGGGCGTAGGGTCATCGTATGATCAAAGAAGGCAACATGTAGGGGTGTCTTAGTAATTCGAAGGGACTATCATCATTTTTGTAGGGCCATTGAGGGACAAGATCATTTATTCCGTAGGCAACTTCGAAGGGACTATGATCCTTTTAACTTTAAAGGGACTCGATGATTTATCTGTTTGCAGGGACATCGCTTAAGACACCCCTACGTTCGAGGGACTTGACCATATTAAGGCAACTAAGATGGGTAACCCTAGGAGGTGTAGATGGCGATCGTAGAACGATCGACTTACGTGTGTGAATGATTATTTTCAGATATTTCTTTTATTATTGATTCTCTAAGTCCAACTTATTCAATTAGATCTTTTCGCGCCCCAGATTACTAACCAAGCAATTAAATATTTACGGAAATAATAAAAAAACAAGAAATAAAGTCCTAAATTATTACACGGCTTCGGGGCAATTACATAATAATTGGTGCGAAAAAATAAATTACATAAGGAAAATCCTATACAATCCTCTAAATAATATAAACAAAGCAATGAAAATAAATTAAATTAGGAAATTAATTGTTTTAAAAAAAAGATCAAGTTTAGAAAATGAGGGTCTAATTAGGGTTAATGAAAAATTAGGGTTTTTAAATTAATCTAAACCTAGTTATATTCATTTACAATTTTAATTAATAAATTAAAAAAAGTTATGTGAGAGAAAAAAAATATAAAAATAAAATAAAATTATATTATAAAATTTATTTTAAGAAAAATAATTAGTGAGCAGTTAGTAAAGATTAATGGTTAATTAAATTAATAATAATAACTATAAAACATAAAATAAAAAAAAAAAAAAGAAATTCACTAAAAATAAATGGGGGAAGGCTTGAAAATGTTCGTACGAAGAGTTTCGACTCTTGAAAAGCTTATGCTTTAACCATGACACTTCTTGAAACCTGCATCATATCTTGCAAACAAATGATCAAAACAAACCTAAACATGATTATGAAGATCATTATGAACAGAAAATATGATAAAGCGCAATGAAATCAAAGATTAGAAAGCAAAAAAAAAAAGAATGAGAGGCGGCATGTTCATGGGATGCACTTCGTGAGGTCTCAACCTTCAAGTCTTTGTGGAATAGGTTCCTAGGATCTTGAGGAATGTGAATGGACTTGTAGAGCTGATTGAATCTTATTGCAAAGTTGTTTTAAGATTTTTCTAAAGTTCTTATGGCTTCCAAAAAAAATTTTTCTCCTCTTTTTTTCATTCTAACTTTGTTGTGTATATAAAGTAGTGTAAATTAGGGTAAACAATTGAGCTTTGGTTGGAGTTTTATGGGTTGCTTGAAAATGAAGGAGCCAATTATCATAATTGTCAAAACAAATCAAATTAAATCATACCATATTGTTTTTGAACGAATTTGGATGACTTCAATCACTTTAAATAACATATATTTGATCCCAAAATAAATCTTAAATCAAATCTTTGATTTTTTATAATTTATTTTAATTAAAAATAATTTTAAATGATAAAAATAAAAAATAATATAAAATAAATGATACAAATCAGAAAATATGGTCATTGGATCGTGAATGACTTTATCTTCAAGTTTGGGTTGCAATTTTATGGGCCCATTTGGAAAGAATGGGAGTTATGGCCCCTTTTACTTCATACACCCCTTGAAAAATTACCAACTTTGACAATGCATAACTTCCTCAATTTGAATGCTATTGAGGTGTTCTAAGACTTTTTAGAAATCTTAAGATATCCTCTAATCAACCCTTTTGGTTCCATATCCATATTTTTTACCGTTTTCAAATTATGAGCTTTGGAAAAAGTTGACTTTTTGTTGACTTTCAAAAGGACCTATAATGTCTTGGCTCATATCTTTCAAATGAAGCATTTTTAGGCTTGGCTTGTGAGACACAAAGTTTTAGAGAATTAAACTTACTTCAAAATGAGCTTTGAATGGGAAATTTTTGATGAAACATGAGAAAGTTATGGCTGGTCAAAGTTTAGTTGACTTTTCCTACACA